AGCGGTTCTTTTTTTTTATTGGTCTTAACATGCATGTATTCGGACATGCCTCCCAAAAGCCATACTCAAACCCATAACTATGGATTTAGGTGAGGCTTCTTCATAGTCTCATACCTCTAGGAGGTCCCTAAAGTACCTGAATCATCTATTTTGAGTGCTTAATCAATAATGCAAGGTAAGTTTTTGTCACTTTGTTGGCTCAAATGGGCTTCAAACCCCTGAAAATACAAAAAAAATGGGCCTTAATGAAAAAAAAAAAAAAAAAAAACACGGTTTTGGCTGCGCGCAGCAGGCGCGGTTTCTGCGTTTGGACGTGTTTTTTCAATTATTTTTTCTACCTTTTATTTTAGGGCCTTAATGAAAAAACGTGGTTTTTCCGCGTTTAGACACGGTTTTGCTGCAGCACAGCCCACACGGTTTCCGCATTTGGATGTGTTAATTTTGATTTTCTTGATTTTTTAAAATTGTTTCCTACATTAAAAAATGTGTAGAATTTAATGGTCAAGTCCAATTTCCATAAAAATGACTTTTAATTATTAATTTTTTTTCCACTCATTTTTTCTATTAATTGTGTGCATACATGTTTGTACCTTATTTTTTGGGGGTCGGAAAAACAAATCCCAAAAATTGTCTGACGACTCCCATTTTGGTTGAGGGGTTGTCGGGCGGGAGTCGTTCCTCCAAATCGATGGCCGACTTTGGGATTTGGCCATCCAATCACCACCGGTTCACTCCCAACTTGCAGGTACACTCTAAACTTCAAAAAATCATAACTTGGCCATTCCTCAACCAAAATTCACAAAAAAAATACCAAAAGTATCCTTTCTTCTTCCTCTTCAGCGCCATGGTCTTCAATTTTGCTGATCCACCTCCGGTTCATTTCCAACTTGCAGGTACACTCTAAACTTCAAAAAATCATAACTTGGCCATTCCTCAACCAAAATTCACAAAAAAAAACCAAAAGTATCCTTTCTTCTTCCTCTTCAGCGCTATGGTCTTCAATTTTGCTGATCTATCTTTTTTTTTAAAAAAATTCATTGTTAGGCCTCAAACTTCAACCCTGAATAACTCTTTCAATTCTCAACCAATTTCTTCAAGACAACCATCAATCATCTTCATTCTTGATCCTCTTGACTTACTGTTCTCCGTACCTTCCTCTGATTCCCTGCTTGTCTCCCTTTTAAAATCCAAACTACACTTGTTTATTCCCACACTCTTTTGCAAATTTAAATTTGGCCTCATTAGAATATTATAGAATTTTGTGTCTTTTTTTTCCATTGCGAAATTCAAGCTCGGAAGGTTGAATAACCACTGGGAACTTTCCACTGTGCTTGCATCAATAAAAGGAGTGGGAGCCAAACTTAAAAGGCAAAGAACTCCTTTTTAAGCAAAATAAATGTTACCATTCAATTCTACACCTTTCAAAGTGTAGGAAACAAATTAACAAAGTCAAAAAAGAATTAAAAACAAGCGGGTAACAATTAATAGGAAAAATGAGTGGGAAAGAAAATTACAATGCATAAAATTCATTTTTATGCAAAATAAATTTTACCATTGAATTCTACACCTTTCAAAGTGTAGGAAACAAATTTACAATATCAAAAAATAATGAAAAAGAAGCCACTAACAATTAATTGAAAAAATGAGTGGGAACAGAAATTACAATGCATAAAAATCATTTTTATGCAAAATAAATATTACCATTGAATTCTACACCTTTCAAAGTGTAGGAAACACCTTTACAATGTCAAAAAATAATGAAAAACAAGCCGCTAACAATTAATTGAAAAAATGAGTAAGCAGAAAAAAAAAAATCAAAGTCATTTTTATGGTAAATGGACTTTACTATTAAACTCTACACCCTTCAAAGTGTAGGAAAAAATTTTAAAAAATCAAAAAAACTTGAAATTAATGGCAAAAAAAATTAATTAAAAATGCGGGTTTAAAAGCGGAATGCGCGTGTGCTGTGCCGCAGCAAAAGCGCGTCAAAACGCGGAAAATGCGGGTTTTTTATTAAGGCCCAAAAAAAAAAATTAATAATTAAAATTCATCTTTATTCAAAATGGTTTTTACCATTAAATTCTACACCTTTCAAAGTGTAGGAAACAACTTTAAAAAAAAAAAAAAAAAAAAAAAACTCGAAAAATAACCCATAAAAAATTAATTACAAAACCATGTTTAAACGCGGAAACCGTGTTGTGGAACTACCCGGTGGGATCAGATAGAGTGTGGAAGGGTAAATGCGCCGTGAATAAGGCTGCCCTCCGGTAAAAGGTGATAAGGTAGTAGACAAGGAGAGTTCAAATACTCTCTGAAGATGTGGCGGACTATTTCTGACTAAAGGTGTGATAATATTTCTGAGGACTTTTTCTAAGGACTATAAAACTAAAGACTATAAGCTAACTATGTTGACCAGGCTGAGCATGTCAGGGAACTGATGAGGGAACAAATGATGGGGGAAAACCTGGCTCCTTATATACAAAATCTAGGGAGTGGCCAGCTTGTGGTTTGAGAGAAGGGAATGAGTGAAAAATATCAAACTGAAACGCAACGGCCCAGAAGGTGGCTGCTAAGACTAAAGAGGACACAATGACATAGCCTGCTTACCCAAAAGGGTACCTAAGTCTGAAACACACATAGCCACATGCAGGCGCATGCATGGAGGTAAGATACTAATCCCCAAGTGGGTGCATTAGTGTGAAACAGAGAGATAAGAGAAAGAGGAGTGCATATGCAGCAGCTCCAGAAAGAGAAAAAATGAAACAAGAGAAAACAAGAAGGGTTCCTAATACCCTGGCTCTGTATGAGGGGTGACTTTCTTCCCCCCCATGTGTGGTCTGGGTGCCTTGAGGTTTCTGTCTTGAGGACCAAGGTGTTTGGGGTCTTCTTGTCCTGATTGTGCGGTGCATTGAGGCCTTGAGGTTTTGATTTGGCTCACCACAGCGTGTGCTGTGCCGCAGCAAAACCGCGTGTAAACACGGAAAAACCGTGTTTTTTATTAGGGGGTTGGAAAAACGACTCCCTAAAATTTGCCGACAACTCCCATTTTGGTCGAGGGGTCGTCGGACGGGAGTCGTCTTTCCAATTCCCCTTGGGGGATTGGGAGTCGACTTCCCAATTTTTTTTTATTAAAATTTATTTTTTTGGGTGGGAGTCGGCACCCAAAACCCTCCTTGGCAAGTGGGAGGTTTGGGAGTCGCCTCCCTCCCACTGGCCGGGGGGATTCCCTCCGGTCATTGAGAATGTACAGTCTCAATGACCGGAAAGAATCCCTTCCGGTCATCAAGACCATACAATCTTGATGGCTGGAAGGAACCCCTTCCGGCCATCGAGACCAATCTTTGTGACCGGAAGTTCCGGTCAGTCTAGGCTCTACACCTCATCGATCGGAAGGATATCCTTCCGGCCGATGAGATACAACAACACCATATCACCAGGAAATATCTGAGGGCAGTAGGTGTCAGGTGACATGAAGTGACATATGTTACAACTCCATTGTTACTCTGGTGCTTGTCTGCTCAGATGACAATTTGCCCTTTGTGGTCATCAGGGAGTCCCAACCCTTTGACTTTGAAGTAACACTGGAATAAAGGCAGGAGTTAGCTTCATGTCACCTGAAATGTACTGACCTCAAATTTTTCATGGTGTGCATCGACCGGAAGGAATCCCTTCCGGTCAATGGGGCTGTTACACCTCATCAACCAAAAGGGATTCCTTCCGGTTGATGAGGTTGTTACACCTCATCAACCGGAAGGGATTCCTTCCGGTTGATGAGGTTGTTAACATCATTGGATGGCCGACTCCCAAAGTCGGCCATCCATTTGGAAAAATGACCCCCATTTGACGTCGGACGACCATATTTGGGAGTCGGCAACTAAAATTTGGGGGTCGTTTTTCCAAGCCCCTTTTTATTAAGGCCCATTTTTAAAATTCAAAAAAACTCAAGAAATAAGCCGAAAACAAATTAATTAAAAAACTGTGTCTAAACGCGGAAAAACAGCGTTTTCTTATTAAGGCCCAAAAAAAATCTGATTTTTGCCCAAAATATTCAGACACCTCCCAAATCCAGGGTTGGTTTTTGCCGTCCGCAACTGTATACTGTGCAAAATTACTCATGTATTGACATCATCTGTTATTTTTGGCTGGGACTTGTGCATTCACAGAGGTCCTTCCTCAGTATTGCTTGAAGCTTTTATACACAGGATCACTATTCTCAACTTCCTTCAAAGCACATTCAGTGCACTTTTTTTCTTTTAATTGACTTTTGTTTCTCCAACCCTGTCCAGAAATGATTGACAAAAAAATTCAAGAAAAAACAAACCTTCACTTTCAGACTTTCAGTATCATGTGTTGAAACTCCTTGTGGTCCCCCTGTGAGCCTCATCCTCACCTCATTAAGACTTACCCAGGATTGCCTGCAGCAACTCAGTAAACTCAAAAGACCATTCAATTTTCAGTCACTTTCTATAAACATTGTCCCTTGTTGTTGTAAATTTATCTATAATCTGTTGTTTATCTACATATGACTAAAAGAATAGGCTCAGAGAGCCAAACAAAGTGTCATGCAAGCTAATGCCAGTGTTGACCTATAATTCACATTTGTTGACACCAATGCTGGACTGAAACAAGTGCCCAATTCAAGCAATATCCAAAAGGGGCAAAAGGTCATTGAGTAAAACCCACCAATATTGAGGGCAAGAACAAGGTCAAAAATTCAAATTCCCCAAATTGGTGGTAAATAGGACCCCGGAAAGCCCACATGATCCTTCTGTATGTGGTAGCAATTTTTTCACCAGTTGAAGTTTATGCATGAAATGATTAGAGATTTTTCACAAGGATGAAAAAAAAAATGAAATTTATGCATGATACAAAAATTTATTGAAAAAACTTTCAAAAAAAAAAAGGACCTTGATGTTGGAGGTGGCAAAACATGCATCTGCCCCCCAAAACCACATATTCCTGGGTAGCAAAAACCCAGATTTCGTGGGTTTTCCATAGAGATGGCCCCGGAGCATCCGGATATTTGCGCCAATGCGGATATCTGGCTGCTTTTTCCAGGGAAACAACCATCCGCATCCGCTGGCGGATATCCCCCTGCCTTAGCGGGTATCCGAGCGGGTATCTTTGGATACCCACCCCTTAAAGCAAGGGCGGTTGGAGGGGGCGGCCAAAGATTAACTGGAAGGAACGGGGACCACCCGTTTGGCCTGAGTCGTCAGACAGATCCGGCACATCTTCAAAAAGTAAAGTTGGATTCTCGTTTTTCTTTATATTATATTGTGTAGGGGGGGGGATGAGAAATGGCTAACCAGGAGCTGGCTAGCATTTTCTTGGACATCTTCCTAGCCGCAATATCAAGATTGTTCTGATTTTAGTAGGCTTGATCATGTTTGCAGAAGAGCTCAAATACAGTGCTCTATTGGCACCTTACCTGGCCGATCCAGAGAACCTGTTTGTGGTTTCCAGCGTTTTGTCATTGGTAATTCAAATCATCAGCATCATCAACAACACAACCTGTTCACTGCAGATGATGATTGATAATCACTTAAAGAAGATGTTTTTATTTTTGTTCAACAGGGGGGACACGATTTTCATACCTATTACCAAGATCCACATTTGATTGAGCTGGCCAAACAACTGAGTCCAGGCTCTCCATTGCCGGAATATCCAATCCACCAGTCAATTGAGAATCTTTACAAAGAGGCCATCACAGCCATTTCTCTTCAGGATCCCAAACAGGCTCACAAGACATTCAAAAGCTATCTCAAACGGAAAAAGAACACAATCGGTAGTCGCCATCCTATCAGCGTCCTCTTAGGCTCCATGATCAAGCTCCAGCAGACTTGCTTGACTCCTCCTCCACATGAACAACAGTTACAGCTTGTTTGCTATGAACAGTCTAGTCCATGTTTCACTGTCAGGGATAGTAGTGTCAGCTATGTCAGTGCTTTTTTAAGACACAAAGTCAAGCCTGCTCTTGCTCAGCGCCAAAGACTTCCATCTTGTCCTGGGTGCGGCGGCAAAGTTTGGGGGCCGGTGGAGCAGGGAGATCGTGTAGGTCGCTTGATTTGTTAGCTTGATGATCGGCTTGATCAGGATTTGAAGAGTGCCCAAGATTGACATTTGACAGACTAAGCTGTAATGAGTTATCGGATTGATTTTGATCCATCGACAATGAAGATTGATCTAGGGACAGTGATTGTTCCAGCAAAGATAAATCAGAAATCTGCTGAATTGATTCAAACATCAACATAAATTCATTTGATATAGAGAGGAAAATTGAAGAATGGCCTACCAAAGCAGTCTCTGTATCGGTACTTTCTTCCATGATTGGAAAGCCAAAGTCTTTCTGAGGAAGACAAGGGGAGAGGTTAGAGGGATGAGGAAGGATGAGATGATGGGATGAGGAGGGAATCGGAGGAGAGTCGGGTGATATGAGTTTTTATGAAAAATAATAGTATTGTGTTTGCAAGAAATCTTGGATCGGTTCGCGTTTTGGATTTTTTGTGATCCTTTGAATTTGATTTCACTAATCCCATAATTTCATTTTCTCAGTCGGGTTTCATCTTGACAGATGTCAGATAACACCCAGGGATAAAACCACCTCCGGAGCCATGTTGCTCCAGTAGATGCTCTTGGAGGAGAATTAAGAAAAAATGAGGTTCATATTTGGAATGGGAGCAGTTTGTAGGTCTATCTAGCTGCTTGCTGGGGCCGCCGGTCACTCCCTTCTGCCCCATCAGTGATGCCGACCAAGCACTGGACGGTCGAGTGAGCTGAGAAAAAAGGGGGTTGATAAGCGCACGCCAACCCCCATGGCGCACGCCAATCTGCACGCCAGGCGCAGATTGGCGTGCAGGCCCACACGCCAAAGAATTTTGGCGTGCGGCCTTGCACGCCAATTTGCTGAGCTTCCAAAATCTTGTTGAGAAATTCACTCCGCACTAGGATATCTAGGTCCTAATAACCAAATCTAGCGCCATCATCACCCTGTGAATCTGCCTGCAAGATGAGAACAGTTGGTTAGTTTGCGCCAAAAAAAATATATGAAAAAATTGAAAGCCACCTCGTCGGAAGGAACCCCTTCCGACGAGCTGGATCATGTACCAGCTCGTCGGGAGGGGCTCCTCCCGGCGAGCCGGTTTTTATACCACCTCGTCAGAAGGAACCCCTTCCGACGAGCCGGATTTTGTACCAGCTCGTCGGGAGGGGTTTCTCCCGACGAGCTGGTATAAAAACCAGCTCGCCGGGAGAAACCCCTCCCGACGAGCTGGTACAAAATCCAGCTCGTCGGAAGGGGTTCCTTCTGACGAGGTGGTATAAAAACCGGCTCGCCGGGAGGAACCCCTCCCGACGAGCTGGTACATGATCCAGCTCGTCGGAAGGGGTTCCTTCCGACGAGGTGGCTTTCAATTTTTTCATATATTTTTTTTGGCGCAAACTAACCAACTGTTCTCATCTTGCAGGCAGATTATCAGTGTGATGATGGCGCTAGATTTGGTTATTGGATCAGATATCCTAGTGCGGAGTGAATTTCTCAACAAGATTTTGGAAGCTCAGCAAAAAAGGTCCTTGAATATTTTCGAACTAAAAATCAAAGAACAATTGAAAGCAATTGAGACGACCAGGCTGACTGTCAAGAAAAGGAAGGGGGTCGTATCCTTCATATCGACGTTTCCCGATTTTGTCTTGAGAGTGGAACGTCAGATGGAATTCGGAGAAACGGCTGATTGTCCGACACGGAAGCTAGTCAACCAACTCTATGAACAGATCTGTCAGTCTATGTTGGAGGCTCTGCAAACAATGGCCAAGAGCGAGGGGGATCCTGTAGCAAATTCTGGCGGCGGTAGTCAAGAAGACCGCGACAAAGATCGACTGAACTACCATACACTTATCATAGGTAAAGTGACTTGATTTTGAACTTGTTTTTTATTTTTACTTTCCTAAGATTCCTTTGTTTTGCCACCTTCAGAAAATATGAATCACTTCGTGACGACTGTGTCCAAGATTAACGCACCAGCCTTAAAAGCTTCTTTGGAGAAAGCCAAGGAGCAGTATGATCATAACTTGGCTTTATACATCCGGCTGGTACTTCAACGACCACTGGCTCGATTTATTGTTAGTACTTCAATCTCTTCTCGGCCGAAATCTAAGAGGAGTCCGACCCTGCCCGATTTACTGATAACAATGTACTTGGAATAATCAGGATTATTTCCAGGGGATCGATGAGCTGTTACGAACAACCGAACCTACTCAAATTCCGCAACACAGTCAATACACAAGAGCGTCATTAAAACGAGTGATCTCGATCCAAGATAAGAAGGACATAAAAAAATTGATCGAAACACTAAGTAAACGAGTCGACACAGCTGATCATGTACCAGCTCGTCGGGAGGGGTTCCTCCCGGCGGTGTGACCTCGGCCTCTCTAGGCCGAGGGGGTTTGAAAAAAAGAAAGAAAGAAAAAATCGACAGCGGGGCCGTCCCATAGGACCCATGCCTGGGTCCTATGGGACAGCCCAGGTCCTAAACGCATATAAATATGCGTTTAGGACCTAACGTTGGGCGTGCAGGCCTGCACGCCAATCTCCCCTGCAGCAGATTGGCGTGCAAGGCCGCACACCAAAATTCTTTGGCGTGTGGGCCTGCACGCCAATCTGCGCCTGGCGTGCAGATTGGCGTGCGCCATGGGGGTTGGCGTGTGCTTATCAACCCCCGAGAAAAAAGTTGAAAGCCCTGGGACACCAGAGGCGGAAACATATTTGAAATTAATAAAGCAGAAAGGTAAATCCATGAATTGCAAGGATTACAAAAAATTCAAAAAGCGAAACGATCCAAGGTTTCTTGCAAACACAATACATACAAGTGGCAGGAGATTGACGAGCAGGGGATAGTGAGGAGCGACAAAATTTTAGTCATAAAAATTTCACCCCTGTCAATACTAAACAGACTATAGTATAGTCTATGTAATACATCTGTCTAGGCTCTCTTACAGGATGTCCTCACATCTCGCTTTGTCTCGCTCGCGGCCGGTCAATCTCGGTGCCCCCCAGGGGTTTTTTTTTTCATAGCTGGCCGGATGCACCAGCTCAGCCGGGCCGGGAAGAACAAGCTAGGCAAAGCCATACATAACGGTCAGCCTTTCTTATGCCCTCCAGCTCCACCTCTGTCCAATCGACTCATCCCAGCCATCAGTCACCTTGATCGTTGCTCAAGCAGACAGCATTGACGTACACCATCGAACTCTAGCCTCAGTAACCTCAATCGTTGCTTGTTCGTCGTTGTCTTCAACTCAACCCTCAGTAACCTCGATCATTACTGGATCGTTGCTCGTTTGTCGTTGTCTTTGACTCAACCCCTCCACCTTTTACAGCGTCGTTCAATGTCACATCCTTACTGTACTTGTCCATCCAAGGTCAGCTTTTATTCCCCTCCGCGAAGTTTCATATGAGAATACTAACCCGGTGACTCATCTCAAATGTCTTCAGTTACTCAAGAGTTTGATCTGAGCGGGTTGTCTTTGAAAAGTTCACAACCAAAAAAACAAAAGCCTAAAGTTTCTAGGCAGTTCTAAATGCTTGAAGAGCAGTTCTAAATGTGTCAGCTTGCTACTATGGCAGAGACAACCTGTCATAGCAAAATGAAATAAAAAACACATAAAAAATCTAAGAATAAAGTAAAATATTACATAAGTAAAAGAAACTAATTTACTTATGTAAATAACATAAAAACACTTAAAAATATATAAATAACAAGGAAAGATTAGAGAAAACTTTAAATTTTATTACAGATTCTGAATCTACGTACAATTTAACCTAGGGTACCTCAGCCAAAGGTACCCCTAATTGTAACTCCTTCATCCTGTAATACCCACTTAAAGAATTAACAGGTACCCATAGATCACGGGCACCTGAATAACTATGCATTATACATAACAATATGCATATACTCCAAATCTTGTCTCAGATTTGGAGTGTTGTGTATAGTTTGGAAGATAGAGCTGCGTGGCGTGTACTGTCTCCAAGCCCGCGCGCCGCGTAGTCATGCTGCGCACGGTTGACAGGCGCGCCTGACTACAATTGAGCCCATGGCTCAAGCCCCCGCGCGTGCTAGGTAAGCCCACCCGCCTTGGATACATGCATAACCCCCTCTGGGTTACCAGTATCCAAGGAATGGGCCACAAGCGCCCTAGAATCCTCATTACACGTGACAACAAAGCCCCCACACGTGTAATAAAAATATAAACAAACTAGAATATGCATGAAAATACTACAGTAACCTAGAACATTCTATATTCCAAGTGGTAACACGTGTAGCAAGCCCCAGAAACCACCTCTTGGATATTCTGTGGCCCATTTCCAAGGAAATAACTCCACGTAACAGACTAGCAAGTATCCACAGGTTCCTGAGGGATATTCTTGGTTCAAATAAATTCGTGCAAGACCCCTGGGAACTTCTAGAATATTATCCCCAAGGTTTCAGCCCTTGTTGCGTCACCATGTGGGCTAAAATGGGCCACAAAGCGCTCCCAAGTCCTACTAAGCTCCCCTGAGCAACCCCTGAGGTCTTCCACAGGTATTTAAAGGGCCTTCTGACCGCCCAAATAATGATCCCCCAGCTTTACAATACCTTATAGAAATTTACTTACCATTTACAAGTCCCCTACACTTGTAATTAGCCTAGTTACTACTATAATTACTGTTATTAAAGCCCCAAGAATCCTCAAGAAACTCCCCAGTGATCATCCAGCACCCAAAATCCACCTTTTTGCGCGCTTCCAACTGCCCAGTTTCCACTCTGAAGATCCTCAAGACCCTACAGGATTATTACTAGTAAGTAATAACCCTTTCTTGAAGATTTTCCCCTTAAAATAAAATCCTGGGATATAAACCACCCCTGTTTACAGGCCCCAGTGTACCAGGTACCTAAATCCTCTGCCTTTGCACGATACCTTAGAGGGATCTAAACCACCCCTGATTTATCAGGCCCCTCAGGTTTAATTTATATTAATTTTATTAATATAAATTGGCCACATTTTTGGATTTAATCCATAAAATTCTACGTAATTCTTTTGAATTATTTGTTCCATTTTTTTGTCCCAGAGTTTTTACCATAAAAACTCTTAGTTTTGTACCTTGTGTAGCTAGAAGACTCTTGTCTTGGCATCACATAGGCTGACAATTGGGGGTCTGGCCGGGAAAATTTTATTAAAATCACCTTTTTAATAGAATAAACCACCTGGAATTTATTCTTAATTTTTCTCACAAAAATTAATCAAACCCATAAAAAATTATCCTTTTTTTTACGGTCACCTTTCTCATTACTTCAGAAAAAATAAAATAAAAAAAACATATACAACTTTTTTATCAACACTTAGAAAAACCAAAACCCTTAAAAATTACATCTCAAATTTTTTACCTCTTCTCTCCGATTCTTATCTTCGAAACAAAAATTTCCTAAAAAACAAAAAACCTTTTCTTTAAATTTTTTAGTGAATCTACAAGAGAACGCGGAATTAATCCAGCGCTATCTTCTTCACCTTAGATTACGGAAAGAAGAATCCGAAAAAAATTACGTCCCTACTCCTTGGGAATCTCTATCGGCCGACGAACAACTTCTGTTAGCCACCTATCACGCTCAAATCCACCAAGAAGAAGATCTAGAAAAGCAGATACAGTTCCGCTGTTTCCTCAGAGATCTTCGAGCGAAAAATCAACACCTTCGTCGCAAAAGATATTTAGAAAAAAGTCAGATCTTCCCCGACTCTTCTCTTCTATCAATATTCTCAAAAAAGAAAAAAAAAAACACTATACTTACTAGTACCGCATCTGCTTCATAGTGTCTACATTTGAGACCGGGGTTATCAGACAAGAAAGAGCCAGCCCGACTCCTTCAGTTGATTCCAACAACGGCGATAGTGATCAGACGACCCCTAGTCAGTACATCCTAATATTTTTTGCCTCGTTTTTAAATCTCTTCGATCGCTGACGAGATGACCAAAATTACTAGGTCAAACAAACCAGAACTCCGAAGCCCCCTCCCAGCTCCAACGAGACCTCGCGGCGGCAAAGGAGCTTCAGGCTCGGGTCGAAAACCTCCAGATGACCACCTTGAAACGCAAAGAACCAGCAACAGCGGCGAGAGAAGAGCCACCTCCGAGCATGGAGAAGAGTTCGGCTATGGAGATCGACGAGATAGACTCCGAATGCTCGGAAGCTACCCCGAAACGCCCTACAACTCCAGAAATCCGGATCTTATCGAAGGAAGAGCAGATCAGACTCCGGGTCAAAGAGCACGTCTCGCTCTGGAGACAATGCCAAGTGGCTACACGCGAAGGACCGACAGAAAAGCTACGAGCCTTGCTGACTACCGCTCAGGAGAGTCAGAAGGTTCTTCAGAAACTCATCGACAACGAGGAGATCGAGAGTTACGTGAAGGGTTGGAACCCTTGGGACGAAAAGAAACTGCACTTCCCTTCCCCCCCGAAAAAGAACCTAATGAAATTCAAGAGAAACGAGCCCGGCAAGAAGCAAAGCTCAAGCTCGACCAACTTCTCCGATCCCGCCAAATGGAGGAAAGTCACAGACCTCCTTCAGATGGCCTCAGGTCTGTACCAGAATGTGTAGCCGATCCCAAAGTGGCTATTACCATTTTAGATTCTTTAGAGACCCTCAATTTCAATATTTCTACTTTAGATTCGAATAGCGAAAGCAACTTCTCTAGCCTTGTACATAGTCTAGATTCTGCTACTAACAAAATGAAAGAGAACATTGAATTAGTTTGCGCTAAGATAATTCAGCAGCTGAACAAGCCTTTGCCTATTGAGTTGACTCCGAGAAACAGCGAGCAATTAACTATCATCCAAAAGGATGTAGAGTATCTCCGAGATACTTCGAAAGATAGCAAAGAGTTAATTAATGAGATAGTACAGTTTTCTCGAAACTCCGCTGCTCAGAGTAACGCTCAAGCTGACTACATCTTGTCCTCCATAAGACAAGATGCGATAGTCGAGAAAGCGAAGTTTGATAGGACAACGTCTGAGTTAAAGAATCTATTGATACAGAAAAGCGCCGACACCGATAAAAAATTAGACCTTTTGAATGAAATGATACTAGATAAATTCAGTTCAATCAGAAATGAGATCTCTGCTGTTACACGTCTTAAATCAGACCCCCAAAATGATCGAAATGATCTAGCTGATAAAGATTTATCCCAAAATGAGGAGAAGAATTTAATGTCCTCTCATTCTAATAGGCATACGAGTAGAGACGCACCCCCCCATCAAACCAATAATGACAACAGAGTCAGAAAAAGTTTTGTAAGCCCCGAGGAACCAAAATACAATAATCCCTTCATGTATTCAAATACTCCCCCTGTCAAAGGCGGTTCTCCTCCTCCTCTTAATTCTGATCCCAGA